TAAAATCCCCGACACCACACGGGGATATTATTATTATTATTATTATTATTATTATTATTATTATTATTGTTCATTCAATATCCAGATTTACTAAATGTGAAAATATAAGAATACTTTAATTGAACTGTTGAACATCTCTTTTGTAGATTTTATTTATCTTGTTTGTGTATGTCCCTTATGTTGATCATTTGTTTTCGAAGTTTAATAAATAATTTGAAGATCACGCGTTTCTTTAACGTCCGGCGGCTGTGACATGTGACAAGTGACATGTGGCGATGGTTCACATGGTGGGATGAAGGTTTCGCACATATAAGGACCACGTATTACTTTCGGTTACTTATCAACATGCGTTTTTATCTCCGTTTTTTTCTTTTGTGTTTTTTTTAAGTCCTGAAGATGGAAATACGTTTTCCGATACAACACCAAACTTCTGATTAGAATTCCATTCTCTTGTCAAAGTCCCATTAATTTTCTACCTGTACTGTGATAATATTTAAATATCTAATTGTGAAGAACAGATTTCATTGAAAACTAATATCTATATTCAGCAATGTAGTTGCAGTGGGACGTCGAAAAAAATTAACTTTTGCAGTTTTCGAAAATTCAAAATTTCACAGAAAATTGCATCTTCACATTCTAAAAAGTCTTATTGGAGGGGAAAAAATTAAGAAAGAAGTGACGCCATTTTTTTTTGAAATTATGAAAATGTTGTCGAGTCATTTAAGTTAAATTAAAATATCCGTTTTTAGATGCGAGGGGCCACGACATCACCAAAATCTGTCGACATATAACTATTGTGTTGAAAACCCAATGTACGGTTTAGGCACTACTAGTGTTTGCACACGGTCGGACATACTTTCTCGGTATGAACGTCCTCAAAAACGTGATTTTGACCATACTACGTATGCGAGAGAGTATTATACTATAAACATAAATGATGGTTCCACTTCACAAATTCCACTTCATACGGTGTCAGTAATGAGACAAAATGATTTTCTGTTGAAACAGCACTTCCGACAGTGTTACATAACTACGTACTAGCAGCAATACATGAGAAAGTGAAAGTTGCAATTTGAAGAGATGATTCTATTTGGAGTGTTGATCTTTAAAACATTATACTGAACTTGTTTATATTTTTGAAAATCATGTGACTATTTATTCACATGTCATTACTCCTACGGTGTCTGAATTTAGGTAATTGTTTTGGCTCTTCACATTACTTATCTTTAAGGTAAATAAAACTTACTGATTCAAAATAAATGTCAATTAAACGTTTTTAAAATTATTGTAATATGCATCCGTAGTTTGAAGCTCTGAAGGCAAAGCTATTCAAGAGATTTTCGGTTCTAGTCGTGAATCATTGTTTTGTAGTGAATTTATGGTAACAATTTTATACTGGCCTTTTTTACGTATTATTTTATAAATGTTCTTGCTACCGATGACCTGCACCTCATGGCAACCCACTCCGGAAGCGAACTGTTCTGAAGCGAAGGAATTATGCTGCCTTCCCGAAGCCCAGTTCCAAAACAGACGGCTGATAATAGAGAGCGCCTGTCCCCTTTCGCGCTTCTCTCTATCTGACATTTGATCTCGTCTGCCTGCACCCTTGGACGGCGTGACTCACGCTATTCTTGTGGAGGCAATGCTCGTGTGAAGACGGGTCCTTCTCCTCAGCGTATCGAGTTCGCTGTGTGCTTAGCTAAGGAGGCTGCCATGTATTTGGAGACTATTTTCATCGCACTAATTTTGATAATTATTTTATTTGTGCAGCGCGATGTTTCAAAACCACGGAATTTTCCTCCAGGTAAACTACTATATTTCCCTTCATGTACAATAGCATAATTACTAAGTTTCCAGTGTTATGCAGTCCGGTGGTATGTTCGGTGAATTTCTATCGTGTAAGAAAATTATTACAATTCACATTAGAACAAGATAAAATTTGTATTCAATATTCACTGGACGGGCGGCATTAATAAAATCTGTTCACTTTCACTTGAAATATGATTTGATGCACGAATATCTTTATATAATAATAATAATTGAGATATGTAAAAATAAATTAATTATATTAATAAAATGTATCCTGAATTTATTGCCATGCATTGTTAATGCATATTAATAATGATAATTAGTTTTATAATATTCATAGTGTAAAGACAATATTGAACTCATTGAAAATATTTTGTAACTGTCGACAACTAGTGACCTTAGTTATTTCCAAGGCGACCTTAAATAAATAATTTAAAAAATTATATTTTGAAAGTAAATACACTGACTGATGGAGAAGTATTTTTATAGTAAACGTTTGATTGCGGGCTGTTTAATATATGCAATTCAGAAGTTCTTAAAATATTCTTGGGATTTATTTTTATAATAATTCGAAATTATTTTTATTCAACTAGCGGGAAGGGAATTATAGTGGGATTCTGAAAGATTATTGGATTCAAAGTTTCAAAATATTTTTATAAATTAAGCGGCATTGTAAAAATTGGGTTTGATTTTCAATAAAGTTTATTATTTAAACAATTTGAAGGTATTCATTATATCTTTATTTTTCGCGTTTCAAGGAAATTGATACAAAAGGTCTATTAACCTCCAGAGTTCAACATTGTTTAATGCATTATATTTGTTTGAAACTATGAATAATCGTAGTTTGACACCTACAGTCTTTTGATTTTTTGCATTTGATTCACAATAAATTTTCATACTTTTAACATAGTTGAGTTTTTAATGCAGTCTAGAGGTGTTAAAGATAATCTTAATTGTTGCATATGATGTAATCAGTTTTGTTTAGTTGGTGTGTTAATTTGAGATTGATTTTGTTCTTATACCTATTATTGCGGTTTCTTCACTCAATTCACTAACAAAAATGCAATTATCTTTAATCAGATATCCCCTAGTCCGATACTTGCCAGATTAACGGGACAATTGTATTTCGTTATTCAACAAATCAGTGGCATGTAACTTCAAGGTATTCCGAGATTGTTTCCCGACATTTTAACAGTGTACTACAGGTACACTAGTAACAGAAAAAACATGTTCACAAAAAATTTAAATTAATTTCTTTATAAGTATCAACAAATTTCTTTGAATTCTGGATCTTTGGGTTCTTAATAAGTTCAACATCTCGTTCACTTTCTCTAGGAATAAAATGCGATTTCATAAGAGCATGACCTCCATCCATTCGCAGTTGAAGAAAGGGTGTATTGTACCCAAACCTACTTTAAATTGTTAAAATATAGCCTAGGCACACTTGTAGCCGAGATGAAAAACTTATTTCTTCAGAGTCTTCGTGTTTTTCGTATTTGTTTCATCGGGGTCACATTGCAATCATTAAAGCAAGTAAACGGGTCACATCTAGAGATAGTGTATAGAGGCGGGCCGGTCTCGCGTAATTCTTGCGAATTCGCGCACGAATGTGTCGTACAGATCTGACAGCCCGAACGCACCACACGCTCCGACTACCTAATAAAGTCCGGCGGTCGTTGCTTCGCTCAGAATATTTCAAGCTTATGGTGGCGCTGATTAAAATTGCGTGGCCACAGTTCAGCTTTTCAGCAGAAAAGACGCTTTTCATGCGTTCAGTTGCCAAAATGTTTAGGTGAGGACGTATGTATCTGCCCCTAATTTGAACCCGACAAGAAGTCAATCTGTGCTACTATTTTTCAGCAATAAAGACGTTGAGATGTATCACGTTATTTAATACATGGATTATCGTATATACGCAATAACAGTATTTAAATTACATTTATTACTCTCTTATATGTGTATTGTCATTCCCGGTCTAGCGTTACTCCACAGTTAAAACTGCAAATTATTCCTCACAGTAGATTTGAATTTTCCCTTCAATAGAAGTGTGAAGATTAATTATATTAACTAATTGACAGAACTCCCTTGCGTTCACCGATGGTCTATGAGTTGAGTTGTGGAGACGTCCTATCAAAATCTGCTGGAGTTTTGCTTATAAAATTTTCGAGTCAGAGAAAATACTATTGAATAGATATTAAGGAATGTGAAGTTCTTAATCATGTTTGCACATTTACCATTAGATTTGAGTATGAAGTTGTTGACAATCGCCGGGTCAGATCCGAAGAAGGGGCCGCGGCAGTCACGATCCCCCTTTAAAAATTGACATCGGTAAATTATTTCAGTTTTATTCTCGATAAAAAATGCAATGCAAAATGCATATATTCAGTTAAGATCAAATATGCAACTTTAAAATTACTTAAAGAACTCTATTTTACATGGTTCACATTTTAATTTCATTTTTAATACATTGTTTAACTTACGACCGCGAGGAGCGACTCAGTGCGGAGCGCGCTGACTTCGCAAGCGGAAGGTCGGAGTTGGATCCCCGGGCCGGCCGTCCTAACCGGGCGTTACGTGGTTTCCCTCCGTCATACAGGCGAATGTTGGGATGGTTAAAAAAGACCACGATCACCACTCATCACACCTCTAGCCACCTCCCATCGTCACCCGAGTTCCTTCACCATCACACTATCATCATCACCCTATCACTTCATTCAGCATTCCCTGCAAAAGGCGTTTGCCCTTAATGCGATCTTAGTTAGATAATTAACTTACGTTTCATGTAATTTTTCATTGGGTCATTCGTAAAAATGTAAATATACGTACGTAATATGTGCTTTGCACGCGTGCATCAGATTCCCAAATCAAGTGTGTTATCCTTGATTTCCCGAACAATCCCAGGCGAATGTCGAAGTCATGCACTAACAATGGGCTAAGGACCGCGCTATTTATCCTCGCGCTCTTCCTTGTCCTTTTGTCATGCCTTACTCTCTCTCTCTTTCTCTCTCTTTCTCTCTCTCTTTCTTTCTCTCTCTCTTTCTTTCTCTCTCTCTTTCTTTCTCTTTCTCTTTCTT